AGTTGTCGGTGGCGGCAACTTGGTTGTAGCAAGAAGAACATAATCGTACGTTCGAACTTACCAAGCATAATAAAACATTCCTCGCACTGGAAACTGCAAGTCAGGAGAAGATGGCCCTCGATAAATCTGTCGAGGAATACCGTCCATCCAGATCACTGTGCCTCGATACACGACAGAAAGTTGTCCTCCATCATCAATACGGAATTCACTTCCAAAATTGTTACTTGTCTCAGAGTTCCAACGGCTTCTTCCCGACATCTCTCGCAATACAAGATTGCCATCGCTTTGCATAAATGCTCTTTCTATACTGGAAATGTCTCGCCGCTGCGTATCCTTCAGTCGCCAGACTTCCGAGGTACCTTCCATCATGATGAGATTACCACGACTATTTAGACCAACTCTGTACTTTCGATTGGGAGACTCGACAAAAGTCCCTCTTCCAAAGTTCTGGTTTCCTTGGAGAACAGTGGTGTATGGGAAATTCCCCGAAGGTTGTGGTCTCCAAGGTGGCTGCGTAGGCTGGGATGTAGGATTACGTGAGATATATGGTGTTGGAACAGGAACCGGTGTTGGTGTAGACGAACCGCCTATCGGAGCACGTCGATTCTCTGGTCCGCCAGTCCACACTTCTTGTTGATTTCTACTTATTACAGCGATGCCTCCTTTGTTGTTGATAGAAAATTGGGCACCCAGATTGTTGTAGGTCTTCGAGTCCCAAACAGCACGTTGATTAGAGTCTCGAATGACCAAGTTCCCATCGTCTTGCATGTACATTCTATCCCCAGAAATATTTTCCTTGATTGCTGCTGCCAAAGACCAGAGTACGGTTGACGACGGTTTGTCCCGAACAACCAAATCCCCTCCAGAATTCAGCCCGGTCTCGTAAGCACCCGAATCACTTGCAACAAATTGATTCCGAACCAGCGACTGATTTGGTTCTAGCACAACTTTGAAGCTCGGACTTGGACCTGAGTTTGTATCGAGCTGTTTGAGAGTGACCATATCAACATTTGGGCCACGGATAACGTCGGCAAAAAGCTTGAGTTCTTTATCTTTCCCCGCTGACAAAGACACTGTGATCGTTTCCGAAATCCAATTTGTCCAGGAAGTTGTGGTTGCAATGAGAAACTCCCCAACCTTGGTACCATTGAACAACACAGACATTGGGCCGCGATTATTTGCAGAAGCATATCGGAGGATCAGCTGGTACGAACCTGAAACAGGAATGTCGACAGACCAAATCGCGTAGGAACCAACCTCCCCATAGTCGATGAATCCATTGCCGGTGAATCCAACATGATTGGATTGGAGTGAGGACTCAAAAAGGGTCGCATCTTCCGCCGCTAACACAATGTCTTGTGTAGCTACAGTATTTCGACGCAAGCTCGATACTGATTTTGTGGTATAGCGTCCAGAGATGCTTTCCAACAACAGAGCAGCAAAGAGGAAAAGAAAATGCAGTGAACGTCCAATGATTGTCGTAGATCTCGGCATGTTGAAAACAACTGAAATCGATCTTTACAACATCGATGACATTCAAGGAATTGAACAGATGATTCTGGGAGATGGTTTGGTTTGGAATTTCCAAACATCAATTTGAAATTGTGAGGGCCGTTGTCCCTTCAAATATGTTTGAACGGAACGAATCTTGCACATTGCCATCTCGTTCCACCAAGGAGTTGTCTCGTCAGTCATCAATCTCGCAGGATTGGAGGAATGAATGAGGTCACATTGTTTTCCAATCGCAATAGTGCTAATAATTGATCCACAATCAGTCAGATACCAACCAATGTCACATGTATACCTGAAGGACTGGATTTACAAAGATAGTGTTCAGAGGAAGGTTACGAAAGAAATATCTTGGAACGTTCTAAATTCTGAAGATGAAATGGCTTAACAGTAAATGTAATTTCGATTGTCTTGTGAAACTGAGAAAAGTGTCCACCAGCATCTCACAAACACATTAGATACATACAAAACGACTTAAACCAATGAGTGTGCTCTTAAATATTGACGGGATCCAGAATCATTCGATTTGAGTGAACGAGTGAACAGGCGTCGAAAAAGATTTAGACTGGTTGTCCAAAGCGGCGACTCCGATGTTTCTCTCACTGTCAATAAAATGCAGTCTTTTCGGGTCTCTATTTTACGCGGGAAGCCATGTGTTTAACATTTATTTTTTTGTTGCTACGCTACTATGCTACCAACGTATTTCGCTTCTTTCCTCTACGTCAGACTCGTTTGGAATGTGTAGCTAGAAGTTTGTCATACTACAAACGGATCTAAGATTTGGACCTCGAACTTCTGGTCCTGAAACACTCTAGCATGTCTCATGAGCTACGTATAAGGGAGACAAACCCAAAAGCATAGCTCCTAGCTAGGTCATACAGCTACCGGTAGTAGGACGATGCTGAGTTTTGTCGTCATCGAGGATGATTAGTTCTTGGAATCAATCAACCGTCAATCCCAGGCACATTTGCTGCTTTGGCAGATTTTTCAGCCCGTGTTACTGGATGAGTAAACCCTCATTGCCGCAGCTTATAGTTGGGTTTGGTTGAGGGGAATTCGGTCGATACCAACGTCAACCAAACGAAGAAAGTGGCCTGCGAAGAAAGTCTCAAATAATGAATTAGCTTTCACTGAATGCTATTTCACTCGAGGTGGGACCTCAAAGGGCGGTTGCGGTTGGCGCTATTGTGCTAAGATGTATGACGGTCATCACGATGAAGATAGAACCATTAAGGCAATGGTCCAAAATGATTATTGAAATGTTGCACAACGGACCCAAAAGCCCGCTGACCACGAATCTTGGACTGAAGCATAATCAAGTTTGTGGCCTGAGAAAACTAGGGATAGTTGAGAAACATATGGCTCTAGAAGGCTTTTAATTCAATAATCTTGCTTTGCTACTATTGCCGAAGTCGCTCAAGTGCTTCAATTTGCGCAACAAGCGTCTCTAATCTTGGAACGGGTATCCCCAATTTTTGAGCTCGTTCAACCGGTTTGGTGAACAAATACTTCACTTCCATTGGTCTCCCCTCCACAAAATCGAGCATTGTGGACGTGCGGTAGGGTCCCATTTTGTCACTGAGGTCCATCATTCGATGCTTGTCGTCGTCACAAAGAAAGACTTCCTTTGGCTCATTATGCATGGTTAGGTCGGCGTTGCCTGCAGCAATAGTTTCGGCCATGACTTGGTAGGCCAACTTTCGTAACGCAGGATCCAGCACGATCTTATCAACTGTAATTCCTCCCATAGCCACAGATATGCCATTGAAGGGAAGGTTCCATAAACATTTTCTCCATCGCCCTGCTAAAACGGAATCCTCGTAATCTACCGTGACTGAAGTGGGCTGCCACAAATCAAGATAGGCTTGTTTGTTGTCATCTGCTGTACAGTAAGGATTCGATGCGGCAAGTCCTCCGTTCAACAATCCTGCGTACGAGTGGTCTACATGCGCCGGTGCGATTCGATTGGCGCAAATCAATGCCATGCCAGCGTAAAGGGCTGCACAACATTTCAAGTTTGAATCGACAGAGGTATTATCTTCCCCAGTGTGTTCCTTTAGCGCATGTATCAGGTCTTCCTCTATCAGGCCGTTCATAATGACCAGTATCCTGGTACGCTGTGGGTCCAACAGCGGCAGTATCAATTCCGGTATGGCGTGCAACGAAGAAGACTTGAGCGCCACAATCACCCAGTCCACAGGTCCGCATTCTTCTGGATGTTCAAAGGCCGACAATTCGTAGGGAGGGATGAAGATGTTACCATCGATGGACGTCACTTGAAATCCCTCTGTCATACTTGTTTGAAGGTTGTCGCCTCGCATCTGGAACTTGACGTTGTACCCTGCCTCCCAAAGTTTTGCACCGTAGAAGCCGCCGACGGCACCAGTACCGACAATAGCAATGGTCTTGTGTTGGACTGATGGTGGTGAAGTTCCTTGTTGGAGTCTTACACGACGTCGTCGGAAAGGTCTAGCCTTTTCATCAGCGACGGTTTGGTGATGACATTGAAATGCGTCTATGCCATATATCCGAAGGCCAAGTAGGCCAAAAATCAAAAATAATGATAGCAGTACTTTCATCATAATGTTTTCAATCTATCCTGTTTTTTTAAGGAAGAAAAAAAGGGTGACTGCACGACCGACGCAACTCGTACCTTGTAATAATTTCATGAAGATCCGTGCATGAAGAGTTGGATGTAAACAGGGGTATTGAACCTTTCAATTCATTTTTACGTAGTACGATGAACTACGGTAATCGTATTATGCGATCATTATTAGTATGATGGTTATTGTGGATGGTTGGATTTTTTGGTTTCACCAGCCAGGACCAAGATTTTTTTCCATCTCATATCTCGCAGGTGGGTGCCATTCGCTCTGATCCTCGTTGTACCGGCAGTCACCTGGTAGCAGACAGACGTCAGGAAGCTCTCGTCTTTCTTCACAACAATTAAAAATCACAGTAGGTCTACTAGCTAACAGTACGTATTAAAACGAAAGAATAGTTACCCAAAAAAAAGACGCATTGCAGTGGAAGGTACTACCGGTAGTCTACCGGTATGATGTACCGATACTTCACAGTCAGTATTTTCAATCGACTACGTCACCGTACAATCGCTAGCTAGAGTACCGGTACCGTACCGTAGTCTAGCTACCGGTAGGTACCGGTAGGTAGTACCTACCGGTAGGTAGTAGTGACGCCACGATGGTACATACTGATTCTGTCGGTCCGCCTTCGATCTCACAGTCAATTTCACCAACTTGGGAGGAAAAAGTGGTGAAATTTCAGGGCAAGGTTTATGCAAAACTGACTGTGAATTCAACATCGACGAAAGAAAATAAAAAACAAAAAGACGTGGAAAGCCTGAGAGCAGATTCGAACTACCGACCTTCTCATTACTAATGAGATGCTCTAACCAACTGAGCTACACAGGCCACAAGCGGGAGAAGATCGTGTATGTACTGTCACACACGATCCTCATGGAAAAAAAAGAAAGCCTGAGAGCAGATTCGAACTACCGACCTTCTCATTACTAATGAGATGCTCTAACCAACTGAGCTACACAGGCAGTTGAAGTATACACGATTCTATTAACACTTATATACACGATTCTCATTGGAACATTTAGGAACGGTAGTATGGTATCATACGGCACTCGAACATCGTTCGGTAGTCTACAGTGTTAACGTTTTCAATGTGTTGTACGTCGTATTCCACACTGCCGACTGCCGATGGGTTCTATCGTTACCTTTCTGCCTGGACAATTTTCTGACCATTCGCTTGCTCCTACCATATATCTGGTTAATTAAGATCTTCCAGCTTCTTCGGCGTTCAAAATATCGAGCTACTCTGGTCTATCGAGTTGAAGACCTGAACCTTGCGTTTTTCAAAAGTGCAACATTATTGTGAAATTGCAACTACGACGACGTCAGTCACAGCCAATCGATTCCATTCCTTCTTCAGAGAGACACCGCTTCCTATGAGTTGAATGAACTCGTGCATTGGAAGGTTTTGTTATTTACGCCTTAGACCTACACAACTATTGGAGTAAATTGTCATTTTCATTCTGTCCGTGCGCCACTTCCACATTCACCGTCCGTAGAACAATGGACCCATTTTCTATTTCAACGTTATCCATTGCCACATTGGTGGCGACTGCTCTCGGCCTACGGGCAACCAAAAAGAAAACATTAACGCCCCTGGGGGTCGCGACTGGATGTACAGTTGGCTTTCTTCTTGTCGCAACGGGTCTGCGAGGAATGAATTTGTTGTTTTTCTATCAGATCGGAACCATGGCTACGCGCTTCAAAAAGTCCATCAAAGAGAAACGGGATGCCACTCTTGCTGGCGATCATTCGGCTCGAGGTGCGGTACAAGTGTTGTGTGTTAGTTTGACGACGGTCGTACTATCCTTGATACACGCCATTTGGATCGGTCGCGAACGTCCTGTTGCGTTTCCCAAAGACAGATCCGATGGCGTTTTTCTGGCGTCTTGTTTGACTTGCGCAGTCCTTGCACATCACGCCACCTGCCTGGCCGACACATTGGCCAGTGAGCTGGGAATTTTGTCGACACGTTCGCCCATTTTGATAACACAACCTTGGAGGTTTGTGCCACCGGGAACCAATGGGGGCATAACCATCACGGGGACCGTTTGGAGTATCGCGGGAGGTGCCATGATTGGTTGTCTGACCGTCGTAATGGACTGGTTCAGTGGCTTGTCACCGTTGAATGCGACCCAAATGATTTTCTTTGGAGGTACAATGGGTCTGGTCGGTTCTATGCTGGATTCATTGCTTGGCGCAACGCTTCAATCCTCCTACTACGACAAGGACCAAAAGTTAATTTATCATGCCAACAGCGACGACGTGCCCAAATCTGCAAAGCGCATATCCGGCATTAACATTTTAACGAACGAGCAGGTCAATTTCTTTAGCGCGCTGGCTTCAGCACTGCTAGGAGGATTTGTCATTGCTCCCATTATATTCCGGGAGAGGTAGACTTTGCATCCCATGAATAAGGTGCTTCCATCCGTGACTATGCACGATGGCTTTTCAGCTGTCAACGTGGCTTGCAAATCCTAAGTATCATTATTCCTTCCATTAAAGTGTTGATGTTTCTCATAGTGTCTATAGTGAGAACCCCAAATAATGGTCAGAAAGATAGCCATAGTAAAGTATCTAGAAAATTTCAGCGAAAATGCGAAAATACCACTGTCATTCGTCATTAGGTAGGTCATACTAAACGCATGAATGTTTCTCCCACAGTGTGTCAACATATGACGGATCTAATATAGGTTGCAAATCGCGGCCTAAACCAGTGGGGAAAAAAAAGTTTTCATGAGAAACAGACCACCAAACTCTTGACATACGTCGTACTCTTCTACTGAAATTGACTGTGAATCGTCGTCATACAAATTACATGACCGTGAGTGAGTACACGCTGTGCTCGTAGAGCTATCTATGCACTCCTTCTCAATTCCGCCATAGATGGTGTCCGACGTACTCCATTACGCCCCGAACATCATCGACTCCTGTTGTGATTTTTTAGCGATTCAATTAAGATTCATCGGGATCTCTCCGTTCTTTTGTTGATCCAAGTTCGATCCATGGGAACGGCAGCGACAGAACTGCCGTAGATTAACTGCCGTACTACTCTATGAAACTAACTGTAAAACCATTCGTGAAGATATTATGCTTCGCAGCTTGAGAGTTGGTAGTCTTTGCTACAAAAGCTGTTGGGTTTTCGGAGTAATAGAAAATCTATTTTAAGGCTATACCAACTACCAGCTACCATCGTTTCCGGCTCTGAGAAGTTGGCTCACCAGCCTGCCCCCCTACCCCCTACTAGAGAGGGCGGGGCAAACTATGCAACAGCTTTCCCTCCACTCAGTACCCTGTTGCCCACCACTCAGTACTGGAAAGGCAAAAACCTCACGAATAAGGAAAAGTCCAAACCAGTGAGTGTCAGATATGGCGTGGTCTTCCACAAACAATGCTGGGAAGGCAGCAATTAACCACGTAAATTGTGTTGGGTGTGTTGATATTTGATATCTTTCACCTGTTGCAACCCAATAGGGCGGGTTGTACGTGTAAAAGAAGCCTTCCATGCCAAGCACCAGTAATATTTTCAATGAAATAGTACCGTCCCTCTGCACTTGACACTCGGCTGAGTTATGATGCCATTTCTTCCACAGAAATGTCAGTGCCCATCAGAACTCTATCAGGAATCATGCACTAAGTATTCTTCCTCCTCTCCCTTTAGCCCCCTTCCGACTAAATATGAGAAAAACAATCTTTCCGGTCGGCCACCGGTTCTGCATGATGCCATGCACAAGACAGCAGTAGTTTGTACTACCGCTGGGACGAGCTCTTCCGTTGCACTGCTCTAGTAGATCGTCTGTGCATTCTTAGTTCCCCAGGCTCTGACAAACCTGGGTTAAGCCCCCCTACCACGACAAGGTGATCCAATCAGGGGGGGGAAGCTGTTGGGTTTTAAACAAAACGGGAGTAGTACCACCGATACTCCTGTCTTCCCAATTATGTACTTCAATTATTGATAGTCTTCTTTGAGTTTGTGATTTTTGCGACTCTGACTTTCTGTTTCGCTTGGAAGTTTGTTGAATCGCAATGGACTGGGGATGATCGTTCAATAGTTCCGTTCTGCTTCTTAAGAAGATATACAACATAACAGAGTGCCACATAAAATTAGGATAAAGAGGATGGTGTTCGGAAAAGAAATGTCAATTGTTGCGGAGCTGACATATGATAGATTTTTTCTCACTGTAGGGACGATGATCCCGTTCCGATGTTGGCGTCATAAAGCGGTTCGCCGTCCCCATGGAACAGATCCTTTGAGAAAGCGGATGAAGGTTGACACGAAGAAAACGTCGAATAAATTTTTACTGTTTATTAACAGTAGTAATAATAATGATGTGATGATGATTCATTTTACGCAACTACAGGAGTACTACGTAGAATGGATGAACAGACAAGACTAGCAAAAATGATGTAACTTCGTTTCAAAAACTTGAAGTCATCACAATGCTGGAATGATACAAGCACGACGAAGATTAAAAGAACTCCCCCTTCCCATATTCACAATCCTCCGAGAAACAGTCAAACTTCCACATTGAGGACAGGACAGCCAGCATCTTTACTGTAACGGCCTGCACAAGTATTAATACCGGTATGTCCTCGACAAGCGATCATTCCATCATTTTCCTGAACAATCAAGGAGCGAGATACATTGCATCAGTGGACTATCATTCTGCCATCGATTGTCTTTCCCGTGCCTTATATTCATCTCGATCCTGCGTTCATCGTCCCATTGCAAACATCAATCAAGCTACTCTTGATATTTCATTCCTCATGGAGAAGGGATACAACAAAATGAAGACTGCAATGGAAAACGAAGAACAAAGCGTCGAAAGGGAAACACCCTCCGACTTCATCTATTCTAGCCCCATTTATGTTCCAGAGTCTGCTTTGCTCACTCCTGGTTTGAGTACTGAGGTCGCCATCTCCTCGATTGTCATTTTCAATTTAGCGCTTGCCCATCACTTGTTTGCAGTACAAGACCAACATCAATGCCCAAAGCAAGAGACTATGACTCTGTTGGCCAAGTCTATGAAGCTGTATGAACTGGCCATTGAGTTGCAGCAGCAAGACGCTATTCTCTATACTGCTAACTACTCGAGCCTCTTCATCCTGTCTTCTTTGAACAATCTGAGAAATGTTTATCGAATGCTGGATAACGACAACGCCTCTCAATGCTGCTATCAGCATCTTTTGTCGCTACTGATGTACCTAAATTTCCACGAAGGCTGCTTCAAGACATCGAAAGACTACAGTGCCTTCTTCAATAATGCGCTGCAACAAAGTGTTGGTGCAGCTCCGGCAGCGTGACTATTGTGACGATGAGAATTGTGACGTATCACACGGAGCATACACACAAATTTTTGATATTTCCCTACGCATCTTTCTACTTTTAGCATTATGTGTTTACTTAGCGTTGTATATTCTTTTTCATTTGTCGCATTGTCCTTGTATCCTTGAATTCGGGTCGGGAATTGATCAGTTCTGTCACCAACGCAGACGTCGGTTCCTCCTTGGTTGATCCCAATCGAAGAATCGACTCTTGATTCACGTAGTAGTCGTCCTCACGAAAAGCAAACAGCTGCCAGTCGTAGGGATAAGCCTTAACAGCCACGCAATTTTCTCCCCGCACTTGAAATACCATGAGCGAATAAGTCTCATTGAAGCCTTGATCAAAGACCACTTCTTGTGCTTTGCGTTTTGCCCCAGGCGCCAACAAGTTAAAACTCCAACTGTCAACGTTTCTCCAAAAAGGGTTGACTAGGAGAAAGAGTCTTGATCCCATGGCTTCAGAAATTTTGCTGATATCGTCCAAATATTTGGTATCGGTGTTGGGGAAGACCAACGCTTGTATATCTGCACTCGCTCCTTCGGCAGCTTCCGCTGTATGCAGGGCACTACCATCGAAATCCCAAATATCTTGTGCCTTGACCGTAGGTGCCAATCGTCGTTCTTGCACCATCTCGTCGAC